ACATTTGTGTGTGTTGATTTGTGATATGTTACATCTTGATGTAAAACAATTAAATATTTTGTATTCTTTAGTATCAACATGTATCATGTAGCACAATTTTTCTAAAATAAATTGTTTAGTTATCTTTTAGTTACTGTAGACATTTATTTGATGGTAAGTAATTTGTGTTATATAAAAGAGTTACAAGAAAATATAGTTTAACGTGAGAAGATCGAAAAAAAAAACTTTGTATTTAACTGCAGGCGTCAACCGTTGACGTCAGTTTAGCCAGAAAACGGTTTCGGTAGTACGCGGCAGCGTAAGTGGGATGCGCACACACACTACACAAGTGCAATGTGTAAGAAGATATGTAATTAGCATAAGAGCATTGATGGTAAAAATGATATTAATTTGTGTGATAGGCTTCAAAACATGTCCGTTTAGCCTAAAATCACCTGATTTCATTAAATTTTATAAAAATAAAACGTTTCTGATATTTTAAAATGAAATTCAGAAAGGGCCGAAAACCGGCCTATTAGACCCACCCTCTCCCTTTCTGTTAGTGTAGGTAAAAATCCGCTTTACTAATATTCGACTGATTGTTTGCATGCGTTTAAGAAAGTTTTAATTATATATTCTCTGTTGTACATATATACGTTCAATATCTGTTTCTCGTTTGTAACTTTAATTAAAATTGACGTTTTGTGATGTTCGCATAATTTCTGGTAGTCTGTAGAGGGATTGCTTAAGTAAGATAATGGGTTTCTGGCCAGAGCTGCTGTGAGCGTTGCAGCGGTTGCAATCACGTAATATCCGTTTGACACTATCAGTAGAGCAAAATTTTCAAGTTACCAGCAGTACTTTACTTTGGAATCAAACATGTATGTCGCTTTGAGAATGTTGAGAGAGGTAAATTAAATACTCAAATATAGTGTAAATTACTTAAAAATTTCAATTCTTTGCTTAATATTTTTTTCACACAGTTCTACGCATCGATAATTTTTACAATTTGTCTGTTTATAAATAAGATTATATATTTCTATAATTTATGTTATTTAAGATTATATACATATATACATGTATAAATTATACTATTTATATAATCTTATGTAATTTCTATATAATAAATATATTCTTACAGAACTGTATTAATATGTATATAATATATCTACATAATGTATATATACATTATGTACATTATATACATTAATATATTTCTATATAAGAATATATTTGTTGTATAATGTATATAACATACATAATACATGTAATATATAATCTTAAATGATTCTGTGTGTTATTGTCAATTATTATAAAATGTAAATCATTGTCAAATATAAAAATATAAGAGTATAATAAATGTAAGAATTATATTTTTACCGTATGTCTATCATATAAAAATGTTAAGAAATATGATTCATTCAAGAATTATTTATCCTCTCACAGTCATATTTAATACAGATAATTAATGGAAAGATATTTTTTTAATCACATATTATGTTTCTTATATGACTTACATACGATAGAGAAATGCATGCAATAATATTTTTTAATGTAGTCACAAATAATGAAGAAATCTTACAATTAGTAAGGACTAAATACATAAAAAAAAATCTAAACTGTATTTAAATAAAAATTGATATTTTCTGCGATTATTTTCGCATATTGATCAGCTTTCATTGACAGTTCTTCAAATAATTCGTCGTAATATGTTTCTTCGACCATTAAATCCATAATCGTGGAACATGAAGTCACTACTTCGTACCAAATGCGTTTGTAGATTTGTAATTCTCTATCATTCTCAATTGTTGTGCGAAATTTTTTACGAGCATCCTCCAAACACTCTACTCGCCGTTTATGTAGTTTTATTTGCTTATCTCTTTGTTCTTCAAAACCTGCTAAATATTTGCATGTATCCGAAATTTTAAGAGTTATCTTCGCATAATTTTCGATGTCAGTGTCTGCAGTAAAATATTCCTTCGCTGTTTCAAGTTCTCTCAAAGTTTTTACGAAAACCGATTTGGCATCAGCAAGATTCAATATACATGTTTCTGTGATCTTAGTTATATGTTCCAATTTTTTTTCTAGTAGGTCAGAAATCATTAAATTTGACTCCTTAGATTTTGTCTCTAATTTTGACATTTCATCTTGTATTTCAGAAGATTTTTCTCTATTCTGTGAAAATTTTTTCATCCAGAAACGTAAAAGAGAAACTCCATAGAAACCCCATGATCTAGCACTAACGGCAAAGGCATTATTAAAACTTTTATTCAAATTAAGAGAAGCTTTTTTCTCTGCCGACAAATTTTCAACAAATCTATCTATTACATAATCTCCAATAGCAATGCGACTTTTAGCTTCAGTGAACAGATCGTTTGCTAGAAAGTATCTAGACAGATCAAATAAAGTTAAAGCTATATCAAAACATTTGTCGTCATATTTTGTATGGCCATATATCAAGTCTATCAGTCGGTCGTTTAATAATAAATGCGTGTATATTACAAATTCGCGCTTATCTTGCGACCTAGTGAGATATTGACGTCCTAAGTCCTGTAAAGTTGTATGATGCAAATTGTTCAAGATAATTTTAGGATTTGATTCTTTTTCTTTAATACCAACAAGATTTGCTACGTGGATGGGATCAGGATAATTATCCTTATTTGTGTACGTGTGATATAATAACATTGCTGTATTCAAGAATTCATTATCTTTCTTTTTCTCAAATTTCTCAGAAAGTGAATGCAATTCGTTCAGTGCACCTATAGATGTCAATATAGCTCTACGGTCAAACATTTTTCCTTTTAACAGTTCCAAACAACTTGAAAGACAGTGTAGAGCAGTTTCTAAATCGTCAATATCCGTAGATGTAACATATTCTAAGCCAATGTTGTAATAAGCTGTCGCTAAAGCAACACGATCATCAAAATTTTGGTCCTTTAAAACATCGACATTATGATATAACACATTCATCCTCTCCTGTAACGCTTTTATTTTATTTCTCTTTTTAGCAAGTTTAGTGTCTTCATCCATGTACTTTACTTCAAACGACAATTGTAGAACTCCCAAAAATTTCTTACTAATATTCATACTTGTAGCGGATTCGGCCGGTACCGTCTCTGTATAAACAATGAGAATTAATGGTTAGAAATTATTACATGGACATTTAGGTATTTACCTAAATTATTTGTATGCGTTACCGAGTTGAAGAATTGCGAGTTTTTCTTCCATTACTTGTTTGAAGTACGCGAACATTATTGCTCAATATTAATATAAAGAAAATTTTTAGTATAAATTTATAAACTTGTATTCTGACTTGCAAATTTATCAAACGTTCTTTGATCCTGGATGGGGGATTTCCACATACACGTGCTATACACAAAATTAGTTTACACTTCCGATATCCAATGAAAATGTATATTTTATAGGAATAAAATTTCTCTTTATGTAGGGTCTCTAGCGCGTTCTCCTATAGGATATCGAATTGTGACGTTGAGCATAGACAAGTTTTCCGAAAGAGGCGTAAGATCTCACCCAATGACCCAAGATGTCAAATTTATTTATTTATTTGTCGAGTATGGTTTTTCAAAAGAGCTCGTTGGAATAAACATATTTTTTATTATAAAATCTAACAATTTAACTTTGTGTTAATATTAAAACAAAAATTACGCAAGTTTTATGTTAAATGGCGAATTCTCGAAACACATCTACAAATGAAAATTTTTATAACCAAACATCTCGATTGTTTTAATTTTTATGTGTTACATAATGATAAATACTACAAATGATAAATGTTTAAAGTTTTCGACCAATCAGATTGTTCAATATCTGCGTGGCCAATGACGTCGCACAATGAAGTTGCCTGCAGATATCGAGTCTCGATAATATCTTTCTACACATGGATACAGTATAACACTATTAAATTTAACTATTTAATTTAATATATTTATTTTCTTAATCCTACGTTCTTTGTTACGCGTAAGTCTGCGCGTAAAATACTTAAGATAAATATAGCAATGCTGGGACACGTATTTATGTCTGGACATTTTTATTATTTTATTTAAATAAGTTATAACGCGAAATAAAATCAAAGAATCAAAGATACAAATCTTTTTTTTGTATTATATTTTTATCTTTGATTTTAATTTGCGTTATAGTTATTTAAAAACCAAAATGATAAAGTTGTCCAGACATAGGTTTTAAGTGCCCTGG